AACTGCCTTCTTCCATTGTCCTGCAATGATATAAGGGTTACATTTTTGTGTATATGGCTTTCATAGTAGGGATTTCAGAGCACTGATACCAGATATTTTCAGTTTGTTCTCTGGGGGAATTTCATTTGCATCTATGTTTTTAGCTATCTGTGATAACTTGTTAAATATTAAAAAGATATTTTGCTTCTATTGGAACATTTGTATACTCGCAACTATATTTCTGTAAACAGCTGCAGTCAAAAATAAAACACTGAAAGTTTTCATTTTGCAGTGGATAGCTGTCTTTTTTTCCTCAAACTTTGTGAATGGAATTGTGTGCATGAATGACAGTTTTGAGCAGCATGAGTATGTGGCTGAAATAATAAAATCATTAGGGAGGAGGTGTGAAATACCGACATATTTCTAAGTAGTTATTTTGTGCCTACCATTTTGTCAGGCAGAGTATAAGTGACTCAGTGTGACAGAATTTTTGTTTTACTTAATTTAAATGTTTCATGTTTAGTAAAGCAATACATGTACATGGAGGTGCTTTTGATGAAAACCAAGTCTCCCCATCCCTCAGTCTCATGCCCAGAGACAATCTCTGTTTATTCTTTTGGTGGTATTTCTACATCTTTAAATTAGTGCATATCAGAGTGTGGTACACAACTAACTGTGGTACATGGATAAACACTATTTTTAAACTTACATGTATAAGTGTTTTGATGTGTAATAGAAAAAAATGTAGGCTGGGCGCAGTTGCTCACGCCTGTAGTCCCAGCACTTTGAGAGGCCGAGGCAGGCAGATCACCTGAGGTCAGGAGTTCGAGACCAGCCTGGCCAACATGGTGAAACCCCATTTCTACTAAAAATACAAAAAATAGCTGGGCACAGTGGCAGGTGCCTGTAATCCCAGCAACTTGGGAGACTGAGGTAGGAGAATCGTTTGAACACGGGAGGTGGAGGTTGCAGTGAGCGGAGATCGCACCATTGCACTCCAGACTGGGCAACAAGGCGAGACTCCATCTAAAAAATAAAAAATAATAATGTGTCTACCTACCAGAGTGAAGGAAAAAGTAAGTCAAATTAAAGAAAAATATTAAATCACTGGGCTTGGTGGCTCATACCTCTGTAATCCCAGCTACTCGGGAGGCTAAGACAGGAGGATCACTTGAGGTCAGGAGTTGGAGACCAATCTGAGCAACATAGCAAGATCCTGTCTCTCTTTTTTTTTTAATGTTTAAATGAAAGGAAAAAGGAAGAAAAATATTTAAAAAGAAAAATAATAAATGCTAATACAGATACATGGGTATCATGAAAATTGTGTCTAACTGAATCTTAAAAGACATTGCTTTAGACAGTATACTTATACCTTCTTATCAAATATAGACAGTATCTGTTGATTCTATGAAGGAGTGACAATTTTTAATACATTTAAATATATATATCTCTAAATGAGTTGTTATGATTATATATATGTTTTGTTTTGTTTTGTTTTTAACAATGCTGCTGTTCTAAATACAGTATTCTTTGCCAAGCATGGTGGCTCATGCTTGTAATCCCAACATTTTGGGAGGTCGAGGCAGGAGGACCACTTGAGCCAGCCTGGGAGTTCAAGACCAGCCTGGGCAACAAAGTGAGACTTCGTATATACAAAACATAAAATGATTAGCCAGGCATGGTGGCACGCACCCATAGTCCCAGCTACTCAGGAGACTAAGGTGAGAGGATCACTTAAGTCCAGGAGTTTGAGGCTGCAGTGAGCTGTCATCATGCCACTGCACTCCAGCCTGGATAACAGAGACCCTGTCTGAAAAAAAAGAAAAGGAAAAAAATAATAAAAATTGTCTTTTGGTGTTTATTGACTTCAACAGCACTGGAAATGAGCAATAACCAAATGAAATGTAGTAAGTATAAAGATCAAATTACATATTTCGGTTCAAAAAAACAGCTTATGTGGGCAAAATACTGGTCTGAAGATGGGACTACAATAGTATGGGGCTGCCAGAAAATCTGATGCAATCTCAGTTACATAATTTAAGTACAGTGTCCAGAATAAGAAAGGAATTGTCCTCCTCTACTCCAAGCTGGTAAGAGCCTTACTCTATTAACTTACAAGAAACAAATTCTCTGCAGCCATCTAAGCCTAGAAGAGAACCAAAATATCATTTGTCCCTGCTGAGAACAGGGTAGGGACTCTAGAAATCAAAGGATAGCTATAGTTGCTCAACAGCAACACTAATGGTCTTATTCTCAGAAAAAGAGGTGTTGGTTGTGACTCTCATGCTCTATTTCATGGTGCCATCTCTGCTTCTACTGAGGCAATATAGTGTTTAAAAGCATAGGCTCTTGAGTTTGCCTACAATATAACCTCCATTCCTCAATTTCCTTTGCTATAAAGTGAAAACAGTAACAGAACCTTCCTTGTGGAGTTGTTGAAAGGGTTAAGCAAGTTAGTCCATGTAAAATTACCTAGTTCCTGGCACAGTTAGTGCCTCCTAAGTGTTTCCTTGTATTAGTATTACTAGTCTTGATACTACTGTGCTCTTCTAGCTCTTGTGCACTACTTCTCACATCCTTCTGTGTATTAGTCTGTTTTCTGTTGTTTTTAACAGAATACCTGAAGCTGGGCAAATTATAAAGAAAAAGAATTTCTTACAGCTATGGAGGGCAAGAAGTCCAGGTGGTGGGGCTGCATCTAGTGAGAGCCTTCTTGCTGGTGAGGATGCCCAAGAATCCCAAGGTGTTGCAAGCTCTCACGGCTAGCGGGCTGAGCACCCACTCCAACCTGGGTAACAGTGAAACCATCTCAAAAAAAAAAAAATCATGAGGGCTCTGTCCTCATGCATAGATTAACCCACTACTCATGGATTAATGAGTTATCATAAGTGGGCAACCGGCTGAGCATGCAAAGGACTCAGGTCTCTCTTCCTATTTTAAAGCCACCAGTTGTCCACTTATCACTTATGATAACTCATTAACCCATGAGTAGTGGGTTAATCTATTCATGAGGACAGAGCCCTCCCTCATGATTTTTTTTTTTTTTTTTTTTTTTGAGATGGTTTCACTCTGTTACCCAGGTTGGAGGGCAGTGGCACAATCACGGCTCACTGCAGCCTCTTCCGGACTCAAGCAATCCTCCTACCTCAGTCCCTACCCCGAGTAGCTGGGACTACAGGTATACCCCACTACACCTGGCTAAGTTATGTGTTTTTTGTAGAGATGGAGTTTCACCATGTTGCCCAGGCTGGTCTTGAAGTCCAGGGCTCCAGTGATCTGTCTGCCTTACCTCCCAAAGTGCTAGGTAGGATTACAGGTGTGAGCCACCATGCTGGCCCTCAGTCACCTCCTAAAAGGCCCCCCCCTCTCAATTCTGCCACACTGGGGATTAAATTTCAACTTGAGTTTTGGAGGGGATAAATATACAAACATAGCATTTTGACTTTTTCAAAGATATCCCTTTGTCATCAGCATCAAAACTTTTCCTCTCTCTGAGTCATTTCTATTGACATATAAATTTGTTGTAATGTCTCTGATCTCTTTTTAAAAATTTGTTCTTTGATCACACAGCCTCCTCCACACTATTTCTATTCCTCTCCTTCCATTCTCTCTTAAACCCATTCAAATCAGGCTTTCATCACGCCACTCTACTGAAATGGTGCTTTGTCAATGTCATCAATGAATGGGTTCCACACGGCCAAGTCCAGTGGTCACTTCCCAGGCCTTGTCTTGCTTGACTTGTCAGCAGTATTTGACACACCTGATCATTCCCTCTTTCAAACTCTTTTTTTTTTTTTCTTGGAGACAGAGTTTCACTCTTGTTGCCCAAGCTGGAGTGCGATGGCGTGATCTCAGCTCACTGCAACCTCCACCTCCTGGTTCAAGCGATCCTCCTGCTTCAGCCTCCCTAGTGGCTGGGATTACAGGCATGCACCACCACGTCCGGCTAATTTTTTCTATTTTTAGTAGAAACGGGGTTTCACCATGTTAGCCAAGCTGGTCTCGAACTCCTGACCTCAGGTGATCCACCCTCCTCAGCCTCCCAAAATGCTGGGATTACAGGCGTAAGCCACTGCCCCTGGCATCTTCAAACACTTTCTTCGCTTGGCTTTCAGGACACCACACTCAGCTCTCCTGCATCCCTGAACACTGGTTTTTTGTTTGTTTGTTTTTTCATGTCAGATGGGAAAATGTACTGACATCATAACAAGGTTCAAGGGTGGCACATCTCACACATGCACGTGAACACTCAAACATCACACTTAGGAACTACAAAAGGATCTGACCACTGCTTTTCACTCTCATCTTCACCTCCTAACATTGTCGAGCCCCAGAGGTAAATCATCAAATCTCTTCTCTCAAAACTCAATGAGATTGATCCCAGCCAATCTCATTGCTTTCAACACCATCTATATGTTGAAGATTCCCAAATGTGCATCTCCAGCCATAACTTCTGCCTTAACTCCAGGTTCCACCTATCCAACTGCCTACTTGTCAGCCTCACCTGGCTGTCTTAATAGACGTCTCTTATTTTTTGGAGACAGAGTCTCACCCTTATCACCTAGGCTGGAGTGCAGTGGCACGATCTCAGCTCACTGAAACCTCCACCTCCCAGGTTCAAGCAGTTCTGCCTCAGCCTCCTGAGTAGCTGGGATTACAGAAAACGAGCCACCACACCCAGCTAATTTTTTAAATTTTTAGTAGAGATGGGGTTTCCTGACGTCTGGTGATCCACCCACCTCAGCCTCCCAAAGTGCTGGGATTACAGGCGTGAACCATTGCACCCGGCCTGTTTTTCTTCATTTCTATACCACTATCTTTCCTGGCTCTCTTTTAAATTCCCTGAGAGGACTGAATAGGTTGTTCTGTTACCATTTAGTAGGAAGCAGCCCTGCTGGGTGAGTTGTCAAGCCACGTCACCAAGGGGCTTCCAGCTGCAGTTTACGATTGAATCCTCTGATCTGTCTCCCACTAGATTCCACTATTGTTAGCTTCACTGTTACCAATGAGTGTGGGTCTGCTTTGTAGAAATGAATTTTATTTATTCGGATCTTTCAGAAATTTACACAAAATTGCAGTGAAGTTGAAGGCAACAGAAAATATTTTCAAACTGAAACACCCAGCCATCAGCTATTGTGGATACTGTCGAGAGCAAAAACCACCAGTGCCAATCAGCATCTGGTAAAGGAGGTTCTCCACCTCAGTCCAATCCCTTCGTTTTTCTTGGCAAGTAAGAGGCTATCTCCCATTTTTCAGGCAACCTTTCATTATTTCTCAGCTCTTCTTTCAATGCACCACAAGAGGGCAGTGTTTTATCATATTCGCCTTGAATTATATAATACCAACAGTGGGACGAGATGACTTCCAGAAGTAGAAATTGACTATTATGCCAAAACTGTTCACCAAAGTTGATAAAACTCTTAAGTTTACAGTTGTACCCCAAAGTCATGGGACTGGACCCCATCTCGTGGTAAGTCATCAGTTTAGCAATGATAAAGAAGATAACCTTCCGAAAGTTTGTGTAGATCAGAAATAAAGTATTTTTTGTGGAAGGCTATTTTTAAGTATTGGAGGTACTATTTCCTTTCTTGAATTCACATTGCAGATGTACGGTGTGAATTTACTGGTTTATCTCTGCAAACCTTAAAGTAGAGGATTGCAAGGGCCAGGTGCGGTGGCTCACGCCTGTAATCCCAGCACTTTGGGAGGCCGAGGCAGGTGGATCACCTGAGGTCAGGAGTTCGACACCAGCCTGGCCAACATGGTAAAACCCCGTCTCTACCAAAAATACAAAAATTAGCCAGTCATGATGGCAGGCACCTGTCATCCCAGCTACTAGGGAGGCTGAGGCAGGAGAATCGCTGGAACTCGGGAGGCAGAGGTTGCAGTGAGCTGAGATCATGCCACTGCACTCCAGCCTAGGCAACACAGCAAGACTGTTTCAAAAAAAAATTTTTTTTAATTAAAAATAAAGTAGATGACTGCAGTAAAGAAGAGATTTATTAGCTCTTCCTTTCAAGGTATCTGTGTACTGTATACAAACAATGAAAGTTGAAGAACAGTGATACTCATGCTAGGCATATTAGTAACTGCATTGTAATTGAAAGCAAGAAATATCATAAGCAAGCATTAGATTACTAACAAGTTAAGTCCCTTAGGGCAGGTAGATTCAGTCTTTTCTTTCTCAGAGCAATTCCTTTCTGCCATAAACTACAGAGAGGTGATTAATGGAACATTGGAGAATTGAATGATACCTAGCTAGACTTCACCCTAAAACTTTAGCCCTAAAAAGAGGAATTAAATTGTGTAGATGCCTTTAAAGAACATTTTCTAGCATCTTTCTACATCTTCCCTAAGTGGCCTCTTGAGCCCAGTTGGATTTTGGTTATATGCCATGATAGTAATCATAAGAATCAGTTACATTGAATAATAAAATGATCCCAAAATGCATGAATACAGTTGATTCCCTCTCCTATTTATTCCTTGTGGAAAAAGAAAAACCCAAATCTTAAAAACTAAAGCAAGTCAGGGAAGCCTGGAAAGACACTCAGATTTGATAACATGTTAGAAGGAAATCCAGTCTTAGGAATCTCATTTTCTGGCTTTGATCTGGTTGTCAGTTGGGATGGACTTGCCCAAGTGATGGCCCACAGAAAGGCCAAATTTCTTGTTTTTCTCCTCATCCTGTACCTCTTTTTTCATTAAGAATCCTGCCTGGAAGTTTAGGTCAAAGAGGCTGCTTGGAGCAAAATACAGTGGTGTCTCATCCCAAATATTCTCCAGGCGTTTCTTCCATCCTTCTAGGATCTGAATTCGGGCGTCTGCTGGAGTGTGCCCAATGCTATATGTCAGTTGAGGTTCTAAGACTTGGAAGCCACAGAAATGCAGAATGCCACTCTGAGGATACAAAAAGCACAGAGAGGTAAGTCAACCAATTCCGTGCAGTTGTACTATAAACAACAGAAGTTGGTCTGGGCTTCCCAGTAAGACACTCTGATGAGGAGGCCTCAGGCACCTAGAGAATCAGTTCAGAGCTGGCGTCTCTCTCCTACCCTATACCTAGCCGTTACCAATTTTAGCCTTCTCAGGTGTGCTCTCCTTTAAATGCATAAACCCTTGAAACTGTGCCAACCTGGATCCTTTGCCAAGAAAGCCAGAAGTTTTCTTACTTTAGGGAGTCTCAGTTTCTTGGCAGGTGACTCACCAAGACCTGCAGTGGGTGCATTTCTCCACCTCTCCATATAACCAGATGGGTCTTTTTTTTTTTTCCTTTCTTTTTTTTTTTTTTTTTTTTTGAGGCAGAGTCTCGCTCGGTCGCCCAGGCTGGAGTGCAGTGGCACAATCTCAGCTTGCTGCAACCTCTGCCTCCTGGGTTCAAGCAATTCTCCTCCTGCCTCAGTCTCCTGAGTAGCTGTGACTATAGGCATGTACCATCATGCCCAGCTAATTTTTGTATCTTTAGTAGAGACAGGGTTTCACCATGTTGACCAGGCTGGTCTCGAACTCCTGACCTCAAGTGATCCACCAAAGTGCTGGTCTCCCAAAGTGCTGGGATTACAGGCCCAGATGAGTCTTGATAAATGATTTTCATAAGTGGCCTCTCATTGGCTCTTCTCTCCAACCTCCCTCTTTATAGAAATTAGGACCTGAGGGTCTGGTAACACAAATAAGCCCACCCCAGGCTTCAGTTTTATCCAGTTTTATCCATGTATAAACTGGCTAGACAAATTATTTCTTTTTTCTTTGAAACAGGGTCTCGCCCTGTATCCCAGGCTGGCATGCAGTGGTGCGATCATAGTTCGAGGCTGATCATACTGCAGCCTTGAACTCCTGGGTCTGTCGCCTTAGACTTCCAAGTAGCTGGGACCACAGGTGTATGCTAATTTTTTTTTTTTTTTTTTTTTTTGTAGCGATGAGTTCTCACTATGTTGCCCAGGCTGGTCTCAAAGTCCTGGGCTCAAGCGATCCTTCTGCCTCAGCCTCTCAGTAAATCATTTCTTAAATTGTCTTGGGCTCTAATAGTCTGTGAGACTGTATCAGCAACCTGGAGAAGGACAGGAAGGCTGGAGAGAGATGTCAGTCATCTGGCGAGACCAGGGCCCACGGCTAAACAAATCAAGGGTAGTGATTCACACTAGTCCTTGGCTGGGAGAGAATGCTGTTTGAACATACGCACGCGCAGGTGTGTTTCACACACACAGGCACCCGGGAAGGCAGGCAAGTTCCTAAAGGAAGCTCCCGTCATTCTGGATCATGACCACGCTTTCATCTTCACAACTCAAGATCTATTTTCAGATGCTATCTTGAGGTTCTGAACCCCACAGAAGGCTCAATTAATGAATTCCCCTGAAGGTTCGTTGAAAATGAGGTACCTGGCCGGATGCAGTGGCTCATGCCTGTAATCCCAGTACTTTGGGACGCCGAGGCAGGAGGATCATTTGAGGTCAAGAGTTTGAACCAGCCTGGCTAACATGGCAAGACCCCGTCTCTACTAAAAATACAAAAATTAGCTGAGTGTGGTGGTGGGCGCCTGTAATCCCAGCTACTCAGTAGGCTGAGGCAGGAGAATTGCTTGAACCAAGTGGGTAGAGGTTGCAGTGAGCCGAGATGGTGCCACTGCTGTCCAGCCTAGGTGACAGAGCAAGACTCCGTCTCAAAGAAAAAAAAAGAAAAGAAAAGAAAATGAGGTACCTGAATTGGCCAGAGAATGACATTCATGTCCCCATGGATCCCTTGCAGAGAGTACATGGAGCCGCTGCCACCAGTGGTGATAGAAAGCACTGCCTTCTTACTCTGTAAAAGAAAAAAACAATAACAAACTTCATTCCCCTCCACATCCCCTTGTGACAAGAAGTTAATGAAACAGCTCCAGGGACAAGAACACACAAGTCTGTCCTATTTGCTGTTTATGTTACTTCATACTTTGGCTCCCCTGAGCTACACAGTATGACTCTGCAGGAGTGCCAGCCTAGACGGTCTACAGACCAGCGGCCTAGGGCAAACCAAGGATTCCAAACCCCCACGTGTGGCTCAGGGCGAGGCTGTCACCACATCCAAAATCAGTGCTGGCTGCTGGCTGCCTAGGTGGAGTTACTGGGTGTTCTCATCCATCCTCCCACGGGCTAGGCATGGCGTAGGACAAGCTCTTTCATCTGGAAGGTCTTGAAGGGCTCCCTGTGCAGGATTTGGGCCTCCGAAAAATGAAGACAGGCCTTCTTTTGTTTTTATTATGGAAATTTTTAACACACGTAAATGAGAAAATAGTACTGCATCTATCACTCATCTTCCTCTCTCAGTATTTTGCCATTCTAGTTTTAGCTCGACCCATGACCCCCTTTTTCTCTGGAGCATTTTATTTTATTTTATTTTATTTTTTCATTTTTTTTTTCCTCTGAGACAGAGTCTGGCTCTGTCACCCAGGCTGGGGTGCAGTGGCACCCTCTCGACTAACTGCAAACTGTCTCCTGGGTTCAAGTGATTCTCCAGCCTTAGCCTCCCAAGTAGTTGGGATTACAGGTGCTCACCACCACATCTGGCCAGTTTTTGTTTTTGTTTTTGTTTTTGATACGGAGTCTCGCTCTCTCACTCAGGCTGGAATGCAGTGGTGCGATCTCGGCTCACTGCAACCTCTGCCTTCCGGGTTCAAGCAATTATCTTGCCTCAGCCTCCCAAGTAGCTGGGACTACAGGTGCCCACCACCACGCCTGGCTAATTTTTTTGTATTTTTAGTAGAGACGAGGTTTCACCGGATGGTTTCGATCTCCTGAACTCATGATCTGCCCGCCTTGGCCTCCCAAAGTGCTGGGATTACAGGTGTGAGCCACCATGCCTGGCCTTTTATTTTATTTTTTTAAGACAGAGTCTTGCTTTGTTGCCCAGGCTGGAGTGCAGTGGTGCAATCTTGGCTCACTGTAACCTCCACCTCCTGGGTTTCAAGCAATTCTCCTGCCTCAGCCTCCCAAATAGCTGGGATTATAGGGGCCCGCCACCACACCCAGCTAGTTTTTGTATTTTTAGTAGAGATGGGGTTTTGCCATGTTGGCCAGACTGGTCTGAAACTCCTGACCTCAGGTGATCTGCCTGTCTCGGCCTCCCAAAGTGCTGGAATTACAGGTGTGAGCCGCCATGCTCAGCCTCTGGAGCATTTTAAAACAAATCCCAAATATCATGTCATTCCATCTGTAAAAACTTGATCATGCATCTCTCCCAAAGGACCAGGAGCCTAGGCTTAGGATCTAATTGTGCTCAAAACCCTGCATCAGAGCCGGGCATGGCGGCTCACACCTGTAATCCCAGCACTTTGGGAGGCTGAGGGGGGTGGATCACCTGAGGTCAGGAGTTCAAGACCAACCTAACCAATGTGGAGAAACCCTGTCTCTACTAAAAATACAAAATTAGCCAGGTGTGGTGGCCCACGCCTGTAATCCCAGCTATTCAGGAGGCTGAGGCAAGAGAATCGCTTGAACCCAGGAGGCAGAGGTTACAGTGAGCCGAGAATGCACCATTGCACTCCAGCCTGGGCAACAAGAGGGAAACTCCATCTCAAAAACAAAAAACAACAAACAACAAACAAACAAACAAAACCCGCATCAGGACAGACCACCCAGAAGCCGGCTGTCAGAGCATTCAGAACCGTCTACCTACCTGGAAGGGTCCTTTGTCATACATGGCAGCGAGCTTGTAAGCAAACTCTCCTACGAACACTCGCTCAAACCAGCCTTTCAGAATGGCAGGGACTCCAAACCACTGTAGGGGGAACTGCAGGACAGAAGACATCATCAAGTTCAGACCAGAGGCTCCCCAAGCCCAGAAGGCGACTTGGGGTGCTGAGCTGCTCCCCATTATGGCTCTGTGGGGGAGCCCCTCTTCACACCTTTCCCATTCCTCCTGGGGAGTTAGCACTTTAAGGAAAGAGATCATTATTGTCCTTGGTCAGCCAATTTGACAGTCTTCTTTTTCCCTGAAAATGCAAATATTGAGTGGGTCCAAGAAAGCTACATACACAGAAGACTTATTGATATGAAACTTGTTTGTATGAAATCACATTTGTCAGCAAAGTCTAAATAGCAAGGATTGCAAACAAGGTTTGCTTCAGGGTGTCGCCTCAATCAGTATTTTCCCAAGAGTTTGCTTTAGTAGGTGTGGTATCAACAATATGACTGTTGGCCAGGCGCAGTGGCGCACGCCTGTAATCCCAGCCCTTTGGGAGGCTGAGGCAGGTGGATCTCTTGAGGGCAGGAGTTTGAGATCAGCCTGGCCAACATGGTGAAACCCCATCTCTACTAAAAATACCAAAGTCAACCAGGTGTGGTGGTGGATGCCTGTAGTCCCAGCTACTGAGGCTGTTGAGGCAGGAGAATCACTTGAACCTGGGAGGTGGAGGTTACAGTGAGCCGAGATTGTGCCACTGCACTCCAGCCTGGGTGACAGAGTGAGACCCCATCGTGGAAAAAAATGAAGATAGGCCTTCCTGCTTTTATGACTGTCCCTTGTTATCATGGATGAAAAATCGTATCACTTAGAATAAACACAATCACTCAAAAATGCAAACTAATAATCAGTGTGATGGCCGAGTGCAGTTGCTCATGCCTATAATCCCAGTATTTTGGGAGGCCAAGGTGGGAGGACCACTTGAGCCCAGGAGTTTGAGACCAGCCTGGGCAACAAAGTGAGACTGTCTCTACAAAAAAATTTAAAAATTAGCCTGTTGTGGTGGTGCACATCTCTAGTCCTAGCTATGTGAGAGGCTGAGGCAGGACGATTGCTTGAGCCCAGGAGTTGGAGGCTACAGGGAGCTGTGATCACCACTGTATCCCAGCCTGGGTGACAGAGCAAGACTCCATCTCTAAATCATCATCATCATCATCATCAATGTGGCTAGGCGCGGTTGCTCACGCCTTTAATTCAAGCACTTTTGGAGGCCAAGGTGGGTGGATCACTTGAGGTCAGGAGTTTGAGACCAGCCTGGCCAACGTAGTGAAACCCTGTCTCTACTAAAAATACAAAAATTAGTCGAGCATGGTGGCACATGCCTATAGTCCCAGCTACTTGGGAGACTGAGGCAGGAGAATGGCTTGAACCCGGGAGGCGGAGGTTGCAGTGAGCCGAGATCGCGCCATTGCACTCTAGCCTGGGCAACAGAGCAAGACTCCATCTCAAAAACAAATAAATAAACAAATAAATAAATAAATGAATAAAATGTTAAAAAATAAAAATAATAAATAATAATTAGTGTAACTAAGGTTCATCAGGGACTTCTCATGAGAAAGTCTTGTCTGACCTCTTATCCTAATAAAAGCAGAGTACGGACTATACCAGGAGGTTTTCTTATCCTTGATTCATGATTTAAAGATAATCCCAGCCCTTTGGGAGGCTGAGGCAGGCAGATCACTTGAGCCCAAGAGTTTGAGACCAGCCTGGACAACATGGTGAGACCCTATCCATACAAAAAAAATTAAAAAATTAGCATGGCATGGTGGCGTGCACCGATAGTCCCAGCTATTCAGGAGACTGAGGTGGGAGGATCACTTGAGCCCAGGAGGTTGAGGCAGCAGTGAGCGGAGATCATGCCACTGCACTCCATCCTGGGTGACCGTGAGACCTTGTCTCCAATTTAATTTTTTTTTAAAGGCATCCTTTGGGGTACTGGCTAGTGGCATGTGGCTTTGATTCCTAGCAACAGGCCTGTGGGTAAAATAAAGGACTTCAAGGATTGGATGTTTTGTAGCTGATTGAATAACTAAAAAAAAAAAAGAAAAAAGAAAAAAAAAAAAAAGCCACAGCCTATACCACCCTGTTCGTGGTTTCCAGGATCATATACATTCTATGTTCAATATCAAAAGACTGGCTGGAACTGGTAAAAGCAAAGTCATTGAGTACAGTCACATTTATAGGAAAGATCACTGACGAGATTCACGCACAATCCCAGTATTGTGTGCTAAATGGTAAGGCCGCTTCCCGAAGAAGAAAGGCTGTGGTTTGCTGCAGGAACACATTCAGCAGGGTTTCAAAGCCCCCTTCAGCTGGCAGGCTACAATGGCAGAGAAGTCAATGTGTCATGGATTATTCTACAAAGTATTTGGGATTTTTATGGAGAAAGGAGGAGAACTGCAAATTTTGAGAGAGTCCAACAGGAATCGCTAACTGAAGGAATCGCTAACTGAAGGGGAGACTAAGTACATGGAAGAAAGCAAGCTCAAGGGTTGTACATCATCTCTGCAGTTGCATTTCTTTCTCTCTCTTTTTTTTTTCTTTTTTTTTTTTTGAGACGGAGTCTCGCTCTGTCGCCATGTCACCAGGATGGGGTACAGTGGCACAATCTTGGCTCACTTCAACCTCCACCTGCCAGGTTCAAGCAATTCTCCTGCCTCAGCCTCCAGAGTAACTGGGACTACAGGCACGTGCCACCATGTCCAGCTAATTTTTGTAGTTTTAGTAGAGACCAGGTTTTACCATGTTGGCCAGGATGGTCTCGAACTCCTGACCTCAAGTGATCCGCCTGCCTCGGCCTCCTAAAGTGCTGGGATTATAGGCGTGAGCCACCGCACCTGGCCTTGCAGTTGCATTAACATATGCAACAGTAATACAGCCAGATTCCCAATATCTGTGAAATCCATGTAATACTGCACCTTTAAAGTAATCACCCTTATTTGCAGAGAATGCAGTAAAGTAGGTGACTGTTTAAGATCCCATAGCTAATTAGGTGACATGTCTAGGACAATAAGCACGCAAATGCCCCTGACACCACTTCCAATGTCCCCCCATACCTGGAATATCACAAGGTCTGCAGCTTCCAGCTTCTTTTGTTCAGCCACAATATCTGGGCTCAGACGGCCCTCTTTATAAGCCAGAATAGATTTGGCAGCATACTGAAAGTTCGCAGAGTCCTTCAGTTTACCTGCAGAGAAGAAAAAGAGAGGCTGGGGCCAGAGGAGCCAAAGCTGGGCCAGAGGACCCACAGGCAAGGAGATCCGCAAAGAACTAATTAAAAAGGGGAGGAGGAACTCCTACCTGTGATGTCCTTTCTGGAAATGATGGGATTGAAGTTCATGGCATAGAGGTCCGACTCCGCCACCTCCCACCCTTTCTTCTTCAAAGCTGCTACAGCAGCCTCCTTCATGGCATAGTTGAAGGATGTCCTCTCTGAGTGAGCCAGTACGATCAGTGCTCTTCTGCCTACAGAGACACACACAAAGCACCCGGGGAAACCCCATTACCAACCAGCAAGCCTTCAGCTACAGGGGAGTTGCAGTCTGTAAAGGAGGGGGCGGCTTTGTTCGACATTAGGTTATTGCATTCCATCCCCTGCAGCCAGAAATGTATTTTCCCCTTAAAAGTACTGAAGATTAAAGGAAGGATTTAAATCAGTGGCTGATTTAATAAATAGTGTTGACAGCCGGGCTCTGTGACTCACGCCTGTAATCCCAGCACTTTGGGAGGCCGAGGCGGGCGGATCACCTGAGGTTAGGAGTTCCGCCAACATGGTGAAATCCTGTCTCTACTAAAAACACAAAAATTAGCTGGGTGTGGTGGCGGGCACCTGTAATCCCAGCTACTCGGGAGGCTGAGGGAGGAGAATTGCTTGAACCTGGGAGGCAGAGGTTGCAGTGAGCCAAGATTGCACCAGTGCACTACAGTCTGGGCGACAAAGCAAGACTCCGTCTCAAAAAAAAAAAAAAAAAAAAAAAACAGTGTTGGCATATCTAATGAGTTATCTGCATGAAAATAAGATGATTCCCCTAGAAAATTATTACAAGTTGACCATCCCAAATGGGAAAATCCAACATTTTTGAGTGCTGACATGACAAAGGAAATGCTCATTGGAGGATTTTGAATTTGGGATCCTCAACCAGTAAATATAACACAAATACTCCAAAATCCAAAAAAATCCGAAATTCAAAACATTTCTGGTCCCACGTATTTCAGATAAGAGATACTCAACCTGCACAAGTGTTAAAACTCAGTTAAGTGGTTCCCCTTGTCTGAGGGTAGTGGCTCACAGGACACAAAAGGGACGTTGGGGTGCTGAATACATAATTTTTCAGTTTGTGAAAATCCACTTAGAGGCCAGGCGCGGTGGCTCACGCCTGTAATCCCAGCACTTTGGGAGGCCGAGGCGGGCGGATCACAAGGTCAGGAGATCGAGACCACGGTGAAACCCCGTCTCTACTAAAAATACAAAAAATTAGCTGGGCGCCGTGGCGGGCGCCTGTAGTCCCAGCTACTCAGGAGGCTGAGGCAGGAGAATGGCGTGAACCCGGGAGGCGGAGCTTGCAGTGAGCCGAGATCGCGCCACTACACTCCAGCCTGGGCGACAGCGCGAGACTCCGTCTCAAAAAAAAAAAAAACAAAAAAACAGAAAATCCACTTAGAACTTGTGAGGGCTGGGTGCGGTGACTCATGCCTGTAGTCCCAGAGCTTTGGGAGGCCAAGGTAGGAGGACTGCTTGAGTCCAGGAGTTCGTGACCAGCCTGGGCAACATGGTGAAACCCTGTCTCTACAAAAAAAATGCATAATACAAAAAACTAAGGCCAGGCATGGTGGCTCACGCCTATAATCCCAGCACTTTGGGATTCAGGTCAGGAGTTCAAGACCAACCTGGCCAAAATGGTGAAATCTCATCTCTACTAAAAAATACAAAAAGTAGCCAGGCATGGTGGCACCACCTGTAATCCCAACTACTCGGGAGACTAAGGCAGAGAATTGCTTGAACCCGGGAGGGAGAGGTTGCAGTGAGCCAAGATCACACCACTACACTCCAGCCTGGGCAACAGAGTGAGACGACATCTCAAAAAATAATAATAAAATAAAAAACTAGCTGGGCATGGTGACTCACATCTGTAATCCTAGCTATTTGGGAGGCTGAGGTGGGAGGATTGCTTAAGCCTGGGAGTTCGAGGCTGCAGTGAACTATGACTGAACCACTGAATGCCAGAGCGAGACCCTGTCTCTAAAAAATGAACTGGTGCATTTTTTAATGTGTCTATTGTAGTCACCAAAAAGATTTTTGGCTTTAATTACCCCACTATCACATACAACCATAATTTCTAGTAGATTAAAGATCCAAAATTTTTAAATGAAACTATTTAAATACTAAAGGAAGAATGGTAGAATTTGTATAACCTCAGGGTAGAGAATCCTTTATTTAAAAAAAAAAAATTCTGGGTGTGGCGCAGTGGCTCACGCTTGTAATCCCAACACTTTGGGAGGCCGAGGTGGGTGGATCACCTGAGGTCAGGAGTTCGACACCAGCCTGGCCAACATGGTGAAACCCCATATCTACTAAAACTACAAAAATTAGCCGGGCATGGTGGTGCACACCTGTAATCCCAGCTACTTGGGAGGCTGAGGCAGGAGAATCACTTGAACCAGGGAGGTGGAGGTTGCAGTGAGCCAAGATTACACCATTGCACTCCAGCCTGGGCAACAAGAGTGAGACTTTGTCTCAAAAAAAAAAAAAAAAAAAGTTTAGCAAAAAGCGCCATAAACAAAGTCAAAAGATACCCACTGGGAGAAGAAATTCTCACTTCTCATCACAGAGTTAAACTCCCAATGAGTGCCCACAAATGATTAGAAAAGACAGTGCAATGGAAAAGTGGGTCAAGGATCCGAACACACTGTTCACAGAACAGGAAAGGCAAATGGCAACAAACAAATGGAAAGATGCTCTGCGTGGCCTGTCAGGAAAATCAAAATGAAAACAAGACATTTACCCATGAGTTGACATGGGTACCATGTTTACATTTACCATGAGTTTACATTTACCCATAAAATGTTACAAATAATACCCAGGGTTAAGATTGTACCAACAGAAAAACTGGCGTGTTACTGGTGGGAATATGAATTGCCTCAACCTTTAGGGAGAGCAATCAGGCAGAATCTCTTAAAACTTCAAAGACACATAAATCTTTTATCTCGCTCTCCAATTTGGAGGAATCTGTTTTACAGAGTAAAAGCATCAGGCTATAAGAGCCAAGGATGTGTATTACATCATGCTTTTCATTGGCAAAAATTAGCTATAACCTGATTGTCTATGGGGAACATTTTAATAAATTATGGGCACATCCACACTACAGGATATTTTGCTGTTAACAAGAATGAGTTGGCCAGGCACGGTTGCTTGAGCCTGTAATCCCAGCACTTTGGGAGGCTGAGGTGGGTGGGTCATAAGGTCAAGAGATCCAGACCATCCTGGCCAACATGGTGAAACCCTGTCTCTACAAAAATACAAAAATTAGCTGGACGTGGTAGCGGGCACCTGTAATCCCAGCTATTTGGAAGGCTGAGGCAGGAGAATCGCTTGAATTTGGGAAGCAGAGGTTGCAGTGAGCCGAGATCGTGCCACTGCACTCCAGCCTGGGCAACAGAGTAAGACCCTGTCTCGGAAAAATAAATAAATAAAAGTAAAAAAATATTTTAAAAAGAATGAGTTAAACTGGCTGGGCGTGGTGGCACATACCTGTAATCCCAGCTACTTGGAAGGCCAAGGCGGGCAGATCCCTTGAGGCCGGGAGTTGGAGACTAGACTGGGCAGCATAGTGACACCTTGTCACTAAAAAAATTTTTTTAGAGACTGTTAACCAGGTACGGTTGCTCAGGAGGCCAAGGTGGGAAGATTGCTTGAGCCCAGGAGTTCAAGACCAGCCTGGGTAACATGACAAAAGCGAAACCCCTTCTCTACAAAAAGTACAAAAATTAGCCAGGCATGGCAGCGCATGCCTGTAGTACCAACTACTCAGGAGGCTGAGAGATAGGAGGATCACTTGAACCCAGGAGGTCGAGGCTGCAGTGATCTGTGATCGCCGCACTGCACTCCAGCCTGGGCGACAGAGGGAGACCCTGTCTCAAATAAACAAATTTTAAAAATTAAAAAAATTAAAATGAATTTACTATATGTAGTGACTCAAAAAGATATCCATGATATATTATTAACTGATAAAAAGGCAAGTGAATATGAATCCATTTTTATTTAAAACGAAAGAAGTGAGAGGAAGGGAGAGAGAGAGGGAAGGGAAGGAAGAAAAAGAAAATACAAAAAAAAAGAAAAAGAAAAAAAGAAATGACATATATTTGTATGTAGATTTGCAGCACATTGGTATGAGGGGGAGAAATGTGGAACAATCACATTAAACTTTTTTCTTTTTTTTTTGAGACACAGTCTCACTCTGTTGCCCAGGCTGGAGTGCAGTGGCATGATCTCAGCTCACTGCAACCTCCGCCTCTTGGGTTCAAGCGATTCTCCTGCCTCAGCATCCCCAGTAGCTGGGATTACAGGTATGAGCCACTGTGCCCAGCAGATCACATTAAACTTAACAGCTCAGCTTCCTTTATAAGTAAGAAATGGCAAAGGGTACAGGTAGAAGGGAAATGGGCCTCTTTTATATTAACAAGGTTGTCAGTGGCAGCATGCTTCAATTTGCAAGAACAGTATTTAGTGGATCCTTATGATATGCTAGGCACTGCCCTCAGTGCTTTGCATTCCTTTTTTTCTTTTTCTGAGACAGGGTCTCGATCTGTTGCCCAGGCTGGAATGCAGTGGCATGATCTCAGGTCATTGCAGCCTTGACCTCTCAGGCTCAAGTGATCCTCCCACCTCAGCCTCCTGAGTAGCTGGGACTACAGGTGTGTGCCACCACACCTAATTTTTGTTTTGTAGAGACAGGGTTTTGCCACGTTGCCCAGGCTGGTCTCAAACTCCTGGACTCGAGCAATTTTGCCTGCCTCAGCCTCCCACAATGTTGGGATTTTAGGTGTGAGCCACCACGCCTGGCCTGCACTTTCTTCCTTTGTCAGGGCAACCTGCTATGTTTTAAATAAGTCGCCTCCAAAATTCAGGTGCTGCCAATGTGAAAGTATTAACAGATGGGACCTGTGAGAGGTGATTAGGCGAAGGGGTCTCCTTCCTCGTGGGCGGGATTAAGGCCCTCGCAAAAGAGACTTTGCCCAGCACGGGCTCACCTGCCCGTCCACCTTCTACTTCCCACCATCCGTGTAAGGACGCAGCATTCCTCCAAATGCAGCTCTCACCAGACAACCAAACCTGCCAGCACCTTGATCTCGGACTTCCCAGCTTCCAGAACGGTGAGAAATCAATTTCTCTTTTTTATTAACTACCTAATCCCAAGTATTATGTAGGGAGGCACAAAATAGACTGAGACACACCCTATGAGGTCAATACCATGAGTAGCCCCATATTATAGATGAGAAAACTGAGGCACAGGAGAGAAGCAAGTTACCCAAGTGTGTAGTCATTAAGTGGTGAAACTGGAATAATTTAAAAATGTAGAGAGTGGCTGGGCGTAGTGGCTCACACCTGCAATCCCAGCACTTTGGGAGGTTGAGGCAGGCAGCTTGCTTGAGCCTGGGAGTTTGAGACCAGCCTGGCCAACATGGAGAAACCTCGTTTCTACCAAAAAAAAAAAAAAAAAAAACAACTGGGCATGGTGGTGTGCACCTGTAGTTCCAGCTGCTCAGGAGGCTGAAGTGGGAAGATCGCTTGAGCCAGGGAGGTGGAGGTTGCAGTGGGCCAAGATCACACCACTGTACTCCAGCCTGGGCGACAGTGAGACTTACAAACAACAGTGAGAAATACAAACAACAGCGTGCAAGGGCATAGAGCGAAGTGCCAGGGAAAGGACGCTTACTTCCACAGTTGCTCCTGATAGCATGCACTGCTACTTCACACCCTACCATGAACAGTGGGTGCAGCTGGGAGAAGAAAATGCCTGCAACTTTTTGTGGGGGCGGAGGGGGGATGGAGTCTTGCTCTGTGGCCTAGGCTGGAGTGCAGTGGCACCATCACGGTTCACATCAACTTCTGACTCCCGGGTTCAAGCAATTCTCCTTCCTCAGCCTCCTAACTAGCTGGGACTACAGGCGTGTGCCACCATGCCCAGCTAATTTTTTGTATTTTTTTTTAGTAGAAACAGGGTTTCACCATGTTAGCCAGGATAGTCTCGATCTCCTAATCTCATGATCCACCTGCCTTGGCCTCCCAAAGTGCTGGGATTACAGGCGTGAGCCACTGCGCCCAGCTGGCATCTGCAACGTTTTTGCACCATGAATGAATAACTAGAAATGACTAAAATAACTAGAAAGGCGCATTTAAGCCTTAAGCTCTCTTCCTGCTTTTATTATTGACCACACCTAGCAAGGGAGGTGCCTCTTGGGCTAAATTCAGCCAAGTGTAACTTTCAGGGCCCAGTATGCCAAACCAGGGGATTTCCAAACTTGGTCCTGAGGTTTTGGACTCTTGAAACTAAGATTCAGTGCAGTAGGTGTTTGATGATGATTTACATGCGCTGGAAATGACTGACTTGCTTTGGATAGCCTGGGAAAAGGGAAAGGCAGCTCTGAGGCTACCTCAACAAATTCCTACCTCTTAACCCATGGATTTAACACGATTGGGAGGCAGGTGAGCATATCAGGCTCTAACAGGCATTTTCTTTGTAATTTACCTCGCTGTTAGTCTTATCAGTGTTTACTGAACACCGCTCTGAGTTTTTATTTTATTGACTTCTCATCAACGTGAACAAGCATTTTCTAAGTAGTAAGACAGTCAAGGTACTTCTCGGAAAATGAACACGTCAGGATATCCATCTCGATCTTTCAAGGAGCTCAGACTCTAATAGCTATAAGCATGCCTGTGACTTTACAATTTTTCATGTAAGGCAACACACAAACAGGAATAATATATTTGTAACAAATATAACCACCAAAGTGCAGTACCTGGAATACGCAGATCCCCAAAACAACTCAAAAGAAAAATGGTCAAAAGAAGGTTGTGGGTGGGGCGCGGTGGTTCACACCTATAATCTCAGCACTTTGGGAGGCCAAGGCGGGCAGATCACCTCATGTCAGGAGTTCAGGACCAGCCTGGTCAACATAGTGAAACCCTGTCTCTACTAAAAATGCAAAAAAAAATTAGCCAGGCATGGTGGCGGGCGCCTGTAATCCCAGCTACTCAGGAGGCTGAGGCAGGAGAATCGCTTGAACCCAAGAGGCGAAGGTTGCAATGAGCTGAGATTTCACCACTGCACTCCAGCCTGGGCAGCAGAGCAAGCCTCTGTCTCAAACAAACAGACAGATGGTTCTGAATAGGCAATTAACAGAAAAGAAGTTTTCTGGGCCTGGAGGGTTCATTTTCCCTTCCTGCCACTTAACTAGCTGAGCAACATGACCTGGGAGGAGTTACACTACTAGAGTTTACCCTGAGAGAGGCCACAAGATGCACACACAGATAACCTCTTCAGGGTAGAGTGGCATTAGTGTGTTAGGAGAGGTAAGGGACAAAGTTCAACAGAGGGCTGGGCGCAGTGGCTCATGCCTGTAACCGCAGCACTTTGGGAGGCCGAGGCGGGTGGATCACTTGAGGTCAGGAGCTAGAGACCAGCCTGGCCAACATGGTGAAACCCCCGTCTCTACTAAATATACAAAAATTAGCTGGGCGTGGTGGCGTGCACCTGTAATCCTAGCTACTGGGGAGGCTGCAGCACAAGAATCGCTTGAACCTGGGAAGTGCACACCACTGCACTACAGTCTGGACAACAGAGTGAGACTCTCTCAAAAAAAAGTTCCACAGAGGAAAACTTTCAGGACTTCGGGGCTGGCCCATTAGGAAAGGCCCTCAGAAGAGCTTGCCATTTGAGCTGAATCTTGGTCTTGAACTCCTGGCCTCAAGCAGTCCTCCTGCCTCAGCCTCCCAAAAGTGCTGGGGTTACAGGTATGAGCCACCACACCCAGCCAAAAACAATATTTTTTAGCCAGGTTTCCAGTTCTGCTTTGACCAAAAAAATTAGCTGAGTGTGGTGGCACACACCTGTAGTCCCAGCTACTCAGGGGGCAAAGATGGGACAATCACTTGAGCCCAGGAGGTCAAGGCTGAAGTGAGCCCTGATCATGCCACTGCACTCCAGCCTGGGCAGCAGAGCAAGACCCTGTCTCAAAAAGAAAAAAAGAAGTATGTTAAAGGTAAGACTTTGTATCAGTTTCATACATTCTCCTTCTGCCTTCTCTTTTCACTTGAGTGCTCCAGGGAACATGAGTGCGAATCAGACACATCTATTAGTTGCAAACAAAAAACCTGGATGCTTTAGTGAACCTCAAGATTTGGTTAGCTGGGTACAGCTAAAACTAATTATACAAGATCCAAGTCTTCCCTTTTTCCCTCATTACCAGCTCTCTTTTTTGTGTTTAAGCTATGCATAAATACAGAACATTCTGTAAGACTGGAAAGTCAGGAAACAGTTCCTGCCCTAGTATTGGAGGAGAGGGTGCCTGTGCCTCGGGGAGCTTAAGAAAGAAAGACAAAGGAAATAGCAACCACCGTGTATGCGGCAAGCCTCTCAGCTGTAAGAATCTATTCCCTGCTGTCTCTGCCAGCAACTCATTCTGGGCTACCAATCCACTGCTTAGTCCCTTTCTCAGAGATTCTGATAATTTCAGTTGGTCAATTGCAAGGGCAATCTCTTCCTCCACTCACTTTGACCAAGATGGGCTTCTGTGTGTGCAGGTGCATTTTTAGAGGCAGGACCAGGTTCACAGGGAAAGAAATTACGAAACGCAGGATTGTGCCCCAGATGAGGCAACAGCTTTCTAAATCTTAGCGCTGTCCAGTCTCAGAGTGAGATTATTTGGGAAACAGCTCTCAGTCCCTGCAGTTGTCTCAGCTGGTTATTTATGCCTTGGGTGGAGCTGGGGTGACCTCTAAGTTCCCCTAGGGTTGATGGCCGAGTGGGGAGGCTCTATCACTGAAATGGACCCAATACTAGAAACGGATCCAGTACGACCTGATCAGGTTTGCCTAATCCAAGGGCCTCAATGGAAAATACCTCCCAAGGCCAGGCACGGCTGCTCACGTCAGTAATCCCAGCACTTGGGGAGGACGAGGTGGGCGGATCACCTGAGGTCGGGAGTTTGAGACCACGCTGGCCAACATGGCGAAACCCCGTCTCTACTAAAAATATTAAAACTAGCTGTACATGGTGGTGCACTCCTGTAATCCCAGCTACTCGGGAGGCTGAGATGGGAGAATCGCTTGAACCCGGGAGGCGGAAGTTGCGGTGAGCTGAGATACCACCATTGCACTCCAGCCTGGGCGACAAGAGCAAAACTCAGTCTCAAACAAAACAAAACAATACAAAACAAAACAACAAAACCTGAGCCTGGCAGTCTGGATCCGGTTCTGGTCTCTGTCAAACTTAAAGGTATCAGTTTCCTCCACTCCTGTCCACCAATCACCAGATATTCTCATTTTCTTCAGAAGCTCGGAATCCACATTTTTAAGTGAAATCACCCATTTTAATGTTTGCAACTTAATTCAAATTGGTTTAAATACTATAGCACGAAAGAGGTATGGGCTGTGACCGTAAGCCTGATTTGGCCTCCAGCGGCCAGTTTCTGACCCCAGTTTTGGAGGGAATTTCTGCTTCCAAGGTCAAGTTTCTCCTAAATGCCCACTGGAGTTCGTGGGGGTGGAGTGAGGAAGGATCCACGACTCTGGATACAAACAGAAGCTCTCCCTCTCCCGGAGTCCGATCAAGGCTCATCCCAGGACCCTAATCTCTTCCCTGTGTGGGTTTTGACTCAAGGAACAAAACTCAGGGCCAAACCCATACAACCTCCTCCACAGGCACCAGGACTCCGGAGACCAAGCGCCTGGCCCTTTCCAGCACTCACCGACCATGGCGCTGGTGCAGTCCAGGGCGCTGATTGGCTGGAATCGTGCTTGCCGGGGCGACCCTGGCCGGGACTAGGCTCTCACTGGGCTGGGCGACTCCAGCGGCAACCTTGCAGGAGTCGTGTGTGTGGTGCGCGGGGCAGTCTCTCTCATATATCCTGCGCGGCTCATTTGAGTTGGACGTCAACAAGGGCGGGACCCAACGCCTGGATCCTGGGGTGCTGGGCTAGAGGATGCCAAGGCTGCAGCTCCAGGAAGGGAGGGAGCCTGGGGGGTGAAGGAGTGGCCCCTCCACTCCCACCCGCCCCGCCCGAGCAACTGGTGGAAGTCAAGAAAAGTCAAAAATCTGGCTGGAGGGGCTAAGGCAAGCCCATCTGTGCACTGTGCCCTGAGGTGCAAGGGGATGCAGGGTGGAAGTTGTTCCCAAGAGAGTCCAGGGATCGAGTGGGCCTGCCCTTTGAGACTTGGCACGAAGTGGAGCAGAAAAAAAGCCGGATGCAGATTACTGTGGTGCCCCAGCCTCAGATTCTGCTGAGTCACTGTGACTGTGGATTTGGAAGGCTGAGAGCACTGGGGAGACATGCTCCGTGGAGATGAATTTGTTTCTTCCTTTGCAAGATTCAGATTCTGCACTTGGGGGCCCATACAACACACTTCCCTGGGTGCATGCCGCTGCACCACCCCTGCTCCTCAAGGCAGGTAATGGGGGAACTAATTGGTTTTGTTTCCCATGAGCTAAAGCAAGGCTGGCGTGGAGATAGCAGTTATAGGGAAGCATATTAAAGAATAGCCAAAACGGGACCAGGCGCGGTGGCTCATGCCTGTAATCCCAGCACTTTGGGAGGCTGAGGTGGGCAGATCACCTGAGGTCAGGAGTTCGAGACCAGCCTGGCCAACGTGGGGAAACCCTGTCTGTACTAAAAATACAAAAATTAGCCGGGCATGATGGTGGGTGCCTGTAATCCCAGCTACTCGGGAGGCTGAGGCAGGAGAATTGCTCGAACCCAGGAGGCGGAGGTTGTAGTGGGTCGAGATCGAGCCACTGCACTCCCACCTGGGTGATGAAGCGAGACTTCGTCTCAAAAAAAAAAAAACTCTATACTTTGGGAGGCCGAGACGGGCGGATCACAAGGTCAGGAGATCGAGACCATCCTGGCGAACACGGTGAAACCCCGTCTCTACTAAAAAATACAAAAAACTAGCCGGGCGAGGTGGCGGGCGCCTGTGGTCCCAGCTACTCGGGAGGCTGAGGCAGGAGAATGGCGTAAACCTGGGAGGCGGAGCTTGTAGTGAGCCGAGTTCGTGCCACTGCACTCCAGCCTGGGCGACAGAGCAAAGACTCCGTCTCAAAAAAAAAAAAAAAAAAAAAAAAAAAAAACTCTATAAAGTAAAAGTTAAAGATGTCAATGAAGGAAAAAGAACTAGAGCTTTAAAGTGGTAATGAACCATCACAAGAATTACCGATGGGGAAGGTGAGGATGACACAGGGCCCTTCCATTGTCCCTCCAGTGCAAAAGTTAAGGAGGTACCAGAATACTGGTCTCCAACTCCCGACTTCAGGTGATCCTACCAGCTCAGCCTCCCAAAGTGCTGGGATTACAGGCATGAGCCACTGCGCCGGGCCCCATCATGACATTTTTGCATTCATTTTGATGCAACAAGAGAGGACTGTATTATTTACATGTATTTACGAATTACTTTGGGAGGCCTAGGCAGGAGGATCATTTGAGCCCAGGAGTTTGCAATAAGCCTGAGCAACAAAGTGAGACCCCATCTGACAAAATAGTATAAAAGGACCTTTTGAAAAAGGGCTAGGCAGCCCTGTCCAGTGGAACTTTTCCTGTCTGTGCTGCCCAAGTAAGGTAGCCGCAAGCTTCAAGTAGCTATTGAGCACTGGAAATGTGGCCAGCAGCCAGGCGTGGTGGCGGGCGCCTGTGGTCCCAGCTACTCAGGATCTAAGGGGAAAAGATGGCTTGAGCCCAGGAGTTCAAGGCCGCAGTGGTGCACTTAAAAAAATAAAAAGGAAAAAAAAAAGTGGCCAGTGGACTGAGGAAGTGAAGTTTTAACTTTAATTACATTGGTTTTTTAAAAATTTATTTTTTGAGGCGGAGTTTCACTGTGTCGCCCAGGCTGGAGTGTAGCTGCAGGTTCTTGGCTCACTGCAATCTCCATCTCCACAAGCAATTCTTGTGCCTCAACTTCCCGAGTAGCTAGGACCACAGGCATGTGCCACCACACCCAGCCACGTTTTGTATTATTAGTAGAGACGAGTTTCACCATGTTGGCCAGGTTGGTCTCCAACTCCTGACCTCAGGTGATCCACCCACCTCGGCCTCCCAAAGTGCTAGGATTACAGGCATGTACCATTGCGCCTGGCCTTAATTTAAATTTAGATAGCCACTTGTCACTAGTGTCTGGAAAGAGCTGAGCTGGTTCAGATCGAGGCCACAGTGTGCTGGCTAGTCTATCTCCCACTCTTCTAGTGAGATTGTTTTCTTGATCTCCAGTCTCCCCAACCCATCTGGAGGTGGGGCTCAAAGCCCCAAACCTCGAGTGTCATATTCGGTCTTTGGTTTGCAGCATGGCCAGCTCCCATCCTGTCATCTTGTTAACATGAACTGTATAGGGGCCCACCCCAAGTCATCTCATTAGCATAAACTGTCAGGAGTGGTCTGAGAGGCCCACAGTGAATAAGATGGACACTCCTATCATTTGGGATTTAGAGGCTCAGGGGCATGATGATAGTTCACTGCAGCCTCAACCTTCTGGGGTCAAGCAATCCTCCTGCCCCAGCCTCCTGAGTAGCGGAGACAACAGGTGCATGCCACCATGCCTGGCTGATCTTTATTTATTTATTTTTGGTAGAGACAGGGTCTCACTATGTTGCCCAAGCTGCTCTCAAACTCCTGGGCTCATGTGATCCTCGCGCTTTGATCTCCCAAAGTACTGGAGTTAAAGGTATGTGCCACCACTCCTGGCCAAATTTGTTACTACACAGTGGTAAAGACAGACATCTGAGGTCGCAGTGAGCCGAGATCGCGCCACTGCACTCCAGCCTGGGCGACAGAGGGAGATCCTGTCTCAAAAGAAAAAAAAAAAAAAAACTTAGTGGCCAGGCACAGTGGCTCAGGCCTATAATCCCGGCACTTTGGGAGGCTGAAGTGGGTGGATCACTTGAGCTCAGGAGTTGGAGACCAGCCTGGACAACATAGAGAAACACTGTCTCTACAAAAGAAAAAAGAAAAAAATTAACTGCACATGGTGGTGCTGCCTGTAGTCCCAGCTACTCAGGAGGCTGAGATGGGTGGATCACCCGAGTCTGGGAAGTCGAGGCTAGAGTGAGCTGTGATTGTGCCACTGTACTCCAACCTGGGCAACAGAGTGACACCCTATCTAAAAACAAAAACAAAAAAAAACCAAGAAACCCAAGTGGGTTGATTGGGAAGCACAGGAGCCAGAAGTTAAAATCATGAGGAAGCATCAGTGAAACCACAGGGTGTGGGGCATTCTATAGAACAGCCACGCTGGCTTATCCCATGATTCAGTGCTATAAGAAAAACGAAGGAGTGCATATCAGCCAGGATTTTCCAGAGCAACAGAACCAATGGAATTTGTATAAATATGTAAAAAGCAATATATTGCTAGGTACAGGGGCTCAAACCTTGTGATGGTTAATATTGCATGTCAACTTGATTGGATTGAAGGATGCAAAGTATCGATCCCGGGTGTGTCTGTGAGGGCGTTACCAAAGGAGATTCACGTTTGAGTCAGTGGGCTGGGAGAGGCAGACCCACCCTCAGTCTGGGTGGACACCATCTAATCAGCTGCCAGTGCGGCCAGAATACAAAACAGGCAGAAAAACGTGAAAAGACTAGACTAGACCTGGCGCCATGGCTCACGCCTGTAATCCTAGCACTTTCGGAGGCCAAGACGGGTGGATCACTTGAAGTCAGGAGTTCAAGACCAACCTGGCCAATATGGCAAAACCCATCTCTACTAAAAATACAAAAAAATTTAGTTGGGTGTTGTGGTGCATGCCTGTAATCCCAGCTGCTCGGGAGGCTGAGGCAGGAGAATAGCTTGAACCCAGGAAGCAGAGGTTGTGGTGAGCTGCGATCACACTGCTGTACTCCAACCTGGGTGACAGAGTGAGACTCACCTCACCAAAAAAAAGAAAGAAAAAAAAAAGGTTAGACTGGTCTAGCCTCCCAGCCTACATCTCTCTCCTGTGCTGGATGCTTCTTGCCCTCCAACATCAGACTCCAAGTTCTTCAGCTTTGGGACTCGGACTGGCTTCCTTGCTCCTCAGCTTGCAGATGACCTATTGTGGGACCTTGTGATCATGTGAGTTGATACTACATATGTCTATCTTATTAGTTATCTCCCTCTATAGAAACCTGACTAATCCACACCTGTAATCCCAGCACTTTGGGAGGGCAAGGCAGGCGGATCCCTTGAGGCCAGAAATTTGAGACCAGCCTGGGCAATGTAGTGAGACCCCATCTCTACAAAACATAATTTTAAATAAAATTAGCCAGGTGTGGGCCGGGCGCGGTGGCTCACGCCTGTAATCCCAGCACTTTGGGAGGCTGAGGCAGGCGGATCACAAGGTCAAGAGATCGAGACCATCCTGGCTAACCCGGTGAAACCCCGTCTCTACTAAAAATACAAAAAATTAGCCGGGTGTGGTGGCAGTGCCTGTAGTCCCAGCTACTCGGGAGGCTGAGGCAGGAGAATAGTGGGAACCCGGGAGGCGGAGCTTCCAGTGAGTTGAGATCCAGCTACTGCACTCCAGCTTGGGCGACAGAGCGAGACTCCGTCTCAAAAAAAAAAAAAAAAATTAGCCAGATGTGGTAGTGTATGTCTATAATCCCACTCACTTGGGAGACTGAGGTGGGAGGATTGCTTGAGCCCAGACAGTGAAGGCTGCAGTGAGCCAAAGATCTCCCCATTGCACTCCAGTTTGGGTGGCAGAGTGAGATCCTGCCTAAAAAAAAAAAAAAAGCCAGGTGCGATGGCTCACGCCTGTAATCCCAGCACTTTAGGAGGCTGGGGTGGGCAGATCCCTTGAGATCAGGAGTTTGAGACTAGCCTGGCCAACATGGTAAAACCCCATCTCTACTAAAAATATGAAAATTAGCTGGGCGTGGTGGCATGTGCCTGTAATCCCAGCACTTTGGGAGGCCAAGGCGGGCAGATCACGAGGTCGGGAGTTTGAGACCAGCCTGGCCAACATGGTGAAACCCCGTGTCAACTAAAAATACAAAAATTAGCTGGGCATGATGGTATATGCCTGTAGTCCCAGCTACTCGGGATGCTGAGGCTGGAGGAGAATTGCTTGAACCCAGGAGGTAGAGGTTGCAGCAAGCCGAGATCACGCCACTGCACTCCAGCCTGGGCAACAGAGGGAGACTCCATCTCAAAAAAAAAAAAAAAAAAAAAAAAAAAGGGAAAAGAAAGCTATGTTTT